ACTTTGTGTGTGGAGAGAGAGAGAGAGAGAGAGAGAGAGAGAGAGAGAGAGAGAGAGGCGGAGAGGGAGACATATTCGTAATAAAACAGTGAAGTTAATGAAATTCAGCATTATCAAATTACTGGTTGTGGCGGGAATTTACATCCTAGGGTGAGGGTTCTCCATGGTCATCTGATGCGGGATATTGCCCATGCCTTCTTATAATATTTTGCATGTTATTTTATAATTATTAATTTTTTATTAAATATATTTTTATTTAAAGAATATTTATTATAATAAGATTTACAATATTTTATTGTATTTTTTTTTCATAAACTCTAACACTAAATCAATAAAAACTAATTTTGATAAGTTAATAAAATACTGAAAAACTTAGAAAATATTTCATTTGACTCTTGAGAACAAATAGATATTCTTAATTACTATATTCTAATTAACAAAATTTATTTAACGAATAAAAAAGTAAAAAAATAAAAATAAAAATTAGAATAACTTTTTAGATTAGTTCTTATTTTGTAATTAAAAATCAATTTCTTATTCATTTTAAGTTGGGGTAATTTTGTAACTTTAAATATTAAGCATGAACGTCAAGTTTTATCAATAAATCTGTGTGTACAAATTTTATTATTTATAGAATAAGTACAGATACTCACAGGAAGGGTGAGTGGAATGGATATTTTTTTTAATTTTTTACTCACATGGGATCCATCCCGTATGAGTGTTTTGTAAGGTTTCTGTAAACCTCAATCTGTATAACAAGAAGGATTCTAATTTTATTGGTATCTATTGTGGATGAATTTTTTCTTAAGGAAGTTACATGGGAGTCTACTTTTAAATGTTGCATTTTAAAAATCATAATTACAATTTACATGTATAAAAATCTAATGCGTAAAATGGCTACAAATAGAAATCCTAAAACGATTTATTCAATTTTGACTGTGACTTGTTCTACCGGATAACCCATAAATTATGTGACGTGCTATCACTTTGTGTTATGACTGTAAAACCAAATAATTGTGGCACATATAATATTATTAAATAATTAATTAAATTGGTTTATATTTCTTAAATCCAATTGACCCATTTGAGAAGTGATAGTTTCATAACCGTCCACTTTGATGGAAAGTGAGTAGTTTTATAGCCCATAAATAACTATCTCTCTCTGCTATAAACGTGAGTGAAATCCATTAATTAAATTCATTCAATTACGGAGAGAAAAATGGAGAGAATAGTTTCTTTAATTTAACAATTTATTTTTTTATTTTTTGCAAATTTAATTACTCAATTATTGCTATGGAGCAAAGTATGCTTTTTGATCAATTAACTTGTATATATGTGAAAATCATGAATTTTAAGATCTTGATATTAGGGTTTAATCGCTTACATATGGTATAAGAGTAAAGTTATGAAATTCTTTATTTTTTTAATATTTACTTTTTTCTTATGGAATCTTTAATTTTCTTATTGATTGTGACCGATAAATTGGTTAATTTTGATCAACAAATAATATGTGACCTATAAAGTGTGATCACGACTTACAATTTATTTAGTTGTGATTGACAAATTGCTGATGACCAATTCATCTGATACTATTTAACCATTAAATAAGTTGTAACTCATAAAATTTGTTATTTTGTGATCGTTAAATAAATTGTTACATATAAAATTTTTGGCATGTGATTGAAAATAATTTCTGACCTTTAAATTTTTGATCTGTGACCCCTAAATAATTTGCTGCCTATAAAATTTTTGATCCGTGACTTGGAAAGAATTTGTTTTGTGACAAAAAAATAAATTGTGATAAATTAATACAATAGTTGTGACCAAATTGTATAAAATTGTGACCTTAATATATTTAATTAATGAAATATATTTTTAATTAATTATTTCATAAAACAAAATGTAATTAATATCTGATTTTTAAAATTTCAAACATTTCTTCTTAGTTTTGAAATAGGTAATACTTAATTTCTTACTTATGAATTTTCCCCTTTCTAAATTTAGCCCCTACTTGGGCTCTATTTATAAAGAAAACGCATTTTTTTTTTAATTTTCAGCCACACATTATCCAATAAAATAATATTACACAAAAAAAAATCATTATTTTTTAACGATACATTCTTTAAAAAATACCATTTCCTCAATTTCTCATTCAAATGGAACCCAAACAACTCCTTAATGTGCTCACTTGGAAGATTTTTGATCTATGGGTTGGTTGAATCTTGATGTACAGTCCATTTTTCACTAGAAACTAAGTCCATTCACCACTAGAAACTAGGTCCATTCACCTTCAAATGATGCAAATTCGATCGAGGGGGCAATGGGTGGAGCAGGTCGGGATCAGGACTGGGACGACCCTGAGGTGGGAGGTAGGAATTGACATTTACTTAGTTATTTAATTATTTTAAAATATGATTTAAGTTTTACGATTTAAATTGTAAAAATATAAATAAAATAAAAGTTGGGATAAGTCTCTGACAAAAAATCATGTTTTAGTTATTTTGTCATCTCTATCATGAATCTTTTATTTATTTATTTTGGGAAAATAAAATGAACTATTTTTAGTTTTTTTCTCCTTTTCTTATTTGAATACTTATTTTGTGGAATAAATAAGATGAACTCATTCTCTAAGACATAACTAACAACATGTTTATGCGGGAGTAATTAAGTCATTATGAAATCAATTCACATGACATAAGGCACTCGATTAGAGAAAACAATGTCAATGGCACTTAGAGCAAATGCATTAATCCTTTATTTGCTTATGATTGAAAAGAAATTCAAAAGGTTAAAATGAAAAATCATATAGGATTGAATAAAAAATAAATATGTATGGTATAAACTATAAACTATAATTATTAACAAGGAATTGACACCCTTAATTCATCTCTACGTGTCAGAATGGACATTATTTATATTGAGTGACTATTCTATAAAGTTATTAACTTTAATGACTAAATGGGTCAAAAAGGTATTTCAGTGACTATTTCGGTTATGTGAGTTAAATTCAATGACTAAATGATTTAGAAAATATGTCAAGGACTAACTTAACATTCTACGCAAAATTAGGTGACCATTTGTGAAATTAACCCTCATAGCATTGTTGTATTTGAATTTCGTTACTTTTTCTTTATATAAAATTGTACAGTAAAGAACGATGATTGGGTCGTCTGACGAGAAATGAGCGGCCAACTATTCCAATCTTTTGTGGGACCCTTCCGCGATTACGGCTTTGATTGATTAAATTATCCAGACAAATTTGAAATTCCCAAATTTTTTAATCACGTTTATTGGCTCAAAATAAGTAACCAACAGTTGTCCCATACTTGTTATGCCTGTTTTATAGTCATTATTTGGCAAAAATAAAATTTTGAATAGTGAATTTTTTGAGAATTGTATGATTAAAAAGTAGGAAAAATTTTAAATTTACGTACATAATTTTTTTATTGTATACATGTATAGTTAAAAATGAATACGTAAATAAAAGAATTTTTAGATAATGACTGTCAAACGGAACTTTATAATATGACCCTTTTGTCATAACCAGCCATCATAGGTGGTGCATTTTTCAGTTTGTCCATCACTAAAATGGACCCTATTGTTCCTAAGTCTTGATAATATTTTGTTTTGATATAGGGTTTTTTCGAGAGTAAGTTGTACGATAATAAAAATCGAATGAAAAAATAACATGTTAATAAATCTAATTTTTGCTACTTAACTTATTTTCTACGCCTTTGGGGTTGATCAGTTGGAGTGGCCGAAGAAATTACAAAAAAGAATACCGTTTTTCTCTTTCGATTTTCTTTTAATATTTTTTTAAAATTAGAGTGCAGATCTATTTCTTCATTAAATTTAACGGGAACTTGGAACATATGAGCGGGGACAAGTCCTTCTTACAAATTTTTTATTTTTTAGCCCTTGTTTGATTGATTAAAATCAGATTTTTAACAAATTTTAATAAAAAATATGAAATATATTGCTGAAAAATTATAAATTATTTATAATTATAAATATCATAGTTCATTTTTAATGAAAATGATACAATTTAATGAATATTATCAGTACAGCGCATGAATTCATGAGTATTCGTCATAAGTATTAAGGGTTCGTTTGAGCTGTAGTTTTCGAGAGAATGCATTTTGTATAATATTATATCGTAAAGTTATTTATAAAAAAATGTAGATTAAAATAAATTTAAAAAAAATAAATTTTAAAGAAGGTGGCTCAGACTGAAACAAAATTTCACGGATAGTGGCTACCCACTAAAGAGGCAATGATTAGAAAGATGAAATTGTGAGCTTTGGCAGCATGAGTACATGACCCACTTTCTGCCCGTAAGAGGCGTGGATTCTCGTTTAAAAATGCTTCAATTTTTATTGCATTATTGCATTCAGATGTCTTCTTCTTCCTCCACTTTCCACTAATCCTCATATAACCCTTAAACCCTGTCGTTTCCGTCAAAATCTTCTTACGAAAATGAACCCAATCGATAGCTATCAGTAAATGGTTTCTTTTGCCTTTCTTCAGAGCCACACTCTGTGATCACAGTTGAAAGGGAAGTTTTTTTCTGGAGTGGGTAGTTCAGGTAATTCCCAGATAAATCTTATATTTCTTTCTTTTTGGGTATTTTTTGATGATGAAAATATTGGGTTTGTCTTAATTGTTCTAGGTAAACAAATTTTTCTTTCCCCTCTAATTTTGGCCGTGAATCGAGGTTTTGGTAGAATAAAACTCAACCTTTTGATTTCTTTAAGGAATTGAATGCTATTTTGAGAACTTAAAATGGGAATATACTTTTGTGATAGCAGTGTATTGGTCAAGTTTTCTTTTAAGATTTTTTTCTTCTTCTTTGTGGAATCTCAATTTCTTTAGTTTTATTAACTTTATTACTCTGAAAAGCAATATCCTGTCTCATTATCTTTTGAATTGGTATTCTCTCTATCTTCACAACATTAGTAGGTTTGTCTTTGAACTTTTTCAAGATTGGGATGGGATTCTGTCTGTCCATCCAATTTATTTTTCTTTCTCAACTATGTAAGGTTGCTTTGTGCTGAAGCCCGAAGACAAGGAACGTAATTTCTTGATTTTTATATTGGTGGGAATGGTTGTTGCAGGACAGGAATTTTCGAGCTACTATTTGGTTAGTTGAATAGAAATAATGGGATTCCAATGGTAGATAATGTTGGAACAATGACTTCAAAAACTTCAATGCCTGTCCCTAAGGAGCCAGCCAATAATGACGAAGTTTCTCTGGAGCAGAGCATGCTCTTATCCGATAGCCTCAAGGTAGTTCGTTGTGATTACTTATTATGGCATTCCAAATTAAGTTCATGGTGTTTGTTCTTTGACAGTAGTATTTATGTTGAAACTTAATCCATATTAACCCTTGTTAATCATTAGTGTGACAAAACATATCTAATGGTTGAGTTAATAGTATATATGTCTGCCCTATATTACATTGTTATCAAGTCCTTTCATGTTGGAGAAAGAAAAATGAAAACACTGAAATTTTTTGAATATAATTAGTAGTGGTAAAACGCTTGGGATCTTGATTTTTCAGCTATGTGCAAAACGCTTATTTCTGTACCTGTCCTTGAAATACGTGGTTTCGAAAATCTTCTTATAACATTTATTTCTTTAGGATTTGAAGAATCTCAGGAAACAATTGTACGCAGCTGCAGAATATTTTGAGTTGTCTTATACCAATGATGACCAGAAACAGACGTGAGTTATAAATTGTCAAATACACAATTTGATGTCAATTCTTTTATACCAAGAATTCATTATTCAATTTTTTGAATTTCGATTCTCCTAATTCCTGAATGAACAGTGTTGCAAATTCATTGAAAGATTATGCCATTAATGCTCTTGTCAATACCGTGGACCATTTGGGCTCTGTCACCTACAAGGTCAATGATTTGTTGGATGAAAAGGTGGATGAAGTTTCGGGAACTGAGATCTGGGTTTCTTGCATTGAGCAGGTAATATTTGGAAATAAATCGAATAGTTAGAGTTAAATGTATACTTTAAGAATATGACCAATATTAAGTTGAAAGTCTATTTATTTTTTTGTTAGTTTATAATCTTTACATTTGAGATGGAAGACACATTTCATATTTGTTTGTAGAAGGTGAAAAGTTGCTGTGAATTGCCTCTCTTGCCATGTTTTTCTTTTATGCTGTGCAAGATGCCTGGAGGGTATCTTATAAGATGCTATTTCTAAATACATACAAGACCGATTTATATTTGTGTGTGCGTGAACCAAGTTCACAAATTCCCCTCGTAGTTTCTAGCTACTTAGAAGAACTATGCTATTTACCATCCAAAGATACCTGCTCAATAGCTGGGCTCTGATTTTTTCAATCTTTTTGACCTAGGTTTTTATTTAACGTATTACCCACATACTAATGATTTGTAACATCACTGTTGAAGGAGGATTTTCCATTAGCTAGGATGTTCTGCGCAGAGGGATTTTTAGCTTACTCTGATGTTTTAACAGACTTAATGGAAGAGCATTAAGTTTATATCGACTTTTCATTGCTTTTATATGGTTTCATAGAGACTGCGGACATGCCAGGAGTACATTGACCGTGAAGGTCTTTCTCAGCAGTCACTAGTGATAAACACTCCCAAGTACCATAAGCGATATATCTTGCCAGGCAAGCACATTCAACTATGATCTTTCGTTAAATTATTCTTCTAATTTTTCTGGATCTGTATTTTTCTTTCCTTCTTTTCACTTAGAAAGATGAAGATGCTTATTGATACAAAAATTACTCAATTTTTATGTTCAGTTGGGGAAACAATGCAAAGTGCTATTTGTTCCGAGTCAAAATACCAAGGATGTAGCCTAGAAAATGAAGATGTTTGGCTTCAATTTAGACATGGTACCGTGCTTGTTTTTATCTTCTATTTGGTGATGATTTTTTAAGAATGTTTTGCTAAGCTTGAAAGGTTTACTTCTAATTAAACAAGCCAGTTTTGAAATAAATAATTTTTTAATGGTAAAAATTGGAAAGAAGCAAGTTATTTATTCTGACATCAAGGTAATACTTATATAAAATGACATTTTTTTTACTTAATAGTGAGAAAAAATGATTTGGCAACAAAAATTTACAAGAAAACAACTTTTTACGATTCAGTGTCAATTTTGTTTCGTAACTGAATTTTTCATGGCCTGATTCCTTTTGGATTCCTTTTGCAGCTATTCGAGCTACAGTTAGAGAAACTCCATCCACAGTTAGGTGAGTTTGTTGTTTTGAAAATCATCAAATTTATTTCTTGAAATTGTACACATGAAGATTTTAATTTATCAATTATGTTACATTTACACTCTTCCTTACACCTTTTTTTACAGTCTTTCACGTGGCAACGCCTACACTCTTGATTTTGAATTCATTTATTGCATCATAGCATCATGCAAAATGTACATATTGCATTATTCTTAATTTTTTTCTCTTCAGTAAATTGCACTTTCCGCCGCCTTCTTCCAAACCTGCTCTGCAACCTGGAAAGTTTTTGTCATCCGGCAGCGTGGCCAGGAAAGATTTAGGTTTGTTCTCGACTCATCCTCAACAAATTAAGTGCTTATTTTCCCACTCTTTCGAGATAATTTGCTCATTCCCTTGTTATAGTATTCTGTTGTTCTTGTTAATGAATCAGAAAAACGCCCAGCATCGCCACTCCGGTTTCCTCTCTTGCGTTCAGGATCCTTTTCTAGCAAGTCAACGACACCAAAAGGTTCACGTCCAAGCACCCCAAATAGTAGTCGACCTACCACCCCTAATCCTGCTTTAGGAAGACAACAGGTGATCACTCGAATCCCTAATTCTTTTTTGCATTATCATTTCTTTTTGTTGGATCTTTTGGAAGATTACAGTTTTTTCACTGAATAAAATATGTTTTGTTCTGCCAGTATTTTTCAGACCCTCGGAAATCAGCTTCAATGCGTGTTCGTGTTGAGAAAGAAAACCCGAAAGACGACGAACATTACCCTAGTAAAAGTAAGCGGCTTCTCAAGGCTTTGCTCAGTCGACACAAGTCAAAGAAAGACGATATGTTATACACTTATTTGGATGAATATTAGTCACGAATCAGGGAAAAACACGAAACAGATGTTATTGCTAAAGCAGGAGCATGAATTGCTACAAATATTGCCATTTTTTTAACACCCACTATAGGGGTTGTACCATTTTGTTTTTCCTGTAGGCTTCAGTTTCACATCCTATGCTCACAAAAATTTAGCAGAAAGCTTAATTGTAACCTATTTTTTTAACATAACGATAAGTATTTGTGCAAGCAATACGAGATAATTTTAAGCACCAGCATGACAACACGATTCTTGTTTCTGTTCATCTTTAGTTACAATGAAAAGTTTAAGCAGTACCGTCAACTGTGATAATCGATGTGAGAAAAAAGAACACATTGGAATAAGTTGTATTTTCTCGATTGGACTGCGAAACTTAATTATACAGTTCACTGTAGGGGTCGTAGGGTTCTCTATACAAGCATTGCATGGAATAAAAAGTTAAATTGACAATAATGGGACCTTAGTCACAAGACAAAGGTATAAAATATGAATCATTTATTTCACCAATGATGCAACTCTTTATAACAACATCAAGTTCATGTCAAAATTTAAGAAAAAACGTATGAGTCATAAATTCAACCAATGATACAACTCTTGATAACATCAAGTTCATGTCACAATTCAATCCCTTCGGCCAAATTCTTCAATTGTCTTCGTCGCAAGTGTAAGAACGTCAACAAAAGCACTATATGATGCACGAAGAAACCTTGCTTCAACAGCCTCAAAATGCCTGTACATGCGAGTATACATTTGTCAAAAGGGCGAAAACAATTCCAAAATACAAAAACACTAGATGTATGAAGAATGGTGAAAGGTCGAATAATTTGGTCTGCCTATATTGGAGTATTCCGTCTTTAAGTATAATTGGTTTTCTTAATGTATTTGCCTCGTATTTTAACTTGAACTTGTAAGTAAATCCAAGGTAAATCGTATACTGACACTGAAAGCTTCCCATTGGAGATTGACATCTCCCTTTTCACCTTGTCCGGCTGCAACTGTTGTGCATGGCACAATCCAAGTATTATTTCAGTCAGAATTTAACTGAACACAAGCTTTGAATCAGAATAGCACATGATGGTTACCTCTTTATCGACAACCAATGCTGAATAAACCATGCTAGCTTTTTCATTGGACTCGTAATCTACTTCCAAGTCGCTGCAGACAACTTTTTAAGTTAATGACAATCATATTAGGCAATACAATAAGGACAGGTTTGGTATGAAGTACCAAAAAACATAATAAACATGATTTTAACTTAATTATATGCTTCCTTAATATTATTTAATAATGTCCCTCACGACATTCAAATCATTTCATCATGTCTTCACTTGCATACTTAAAAATAATAATGTATATCCAGATATATTTCTACCTAGAATATAATCCAGTCACCATAGATCATCCAAGAAAGTATCTTATATTCTATTAATTTATGAACTGATCAATCCTCTTTCTTGATTAATAAAAACACCCATCATACTACGTTTCTTGGACTTAGGCTGTCCTTATTCATGGAGCATGGATAACTTTAGTGAAAAGAACATATGGTACTTGATGAATTGAAGATGCATATACAATACAATGGTAAAGTTAGAACAGATGCAAGTGGATTAAAGGCTGATGTTTTTAATTTTATTTTATTTTTTGTCCCAACTCTCATTCAAAACCACCATTGTTCCAATTCTGTTATCCAAACCACCGACTGAAAGAAAAGGAAATAGCATCGAAAGGAATCCATTTCAACCATGAATGAATTGTTAGTTTGCAGCTTAATTCTAGAATGTATAAGGTTGGGGCAAATGACATAATTCTAAACCGCAAGTCCAGTGATCTAAACACGAGGTAAAACCATTCCACATGCGGACAATGTTAAGCGTTTTCTGTTGTTCTAGGGCTGTGGCTGCCAAAGTGAAAAACATCAAAGCCAGCATTAGAGATTCTAACAATCACAATCACCATATCTAATATTTTTCATAACTTTTTACCTTTAGATATAAGAGCAGCTCAATTTCCATTTCGGAAAAAAAAAATTTAATTTACACGTTCTTGTTAACAGTCATTATGGTCGAATTAACGAAACTCCAATGAATTAAAGTCAGTAAATACATATAAATGCCCAATCAAGTAAATTATCAAGGAAAAGCTGAAGTAAAAAAATTTCAGAACAGCGAAAGAAGGCTCTGTTTTCTCCTTTTAATCGTGATTATATATCAATACATAAAAATCCCATAAACCCCTCAACATACAAACACTAACAAATACACATACAAACACACAGAGAGAATATAGAGAGAGAAAGAGACCAGCTGAACTCCCATTTGGTGGGGGCGTCCATTGCATCGTCAGAAGCAGCCGTTGAAATTGTGAGAAGGGGCCAACTAGGGTTTTAAATAAGAATAAAATCCCCTTCTCTCATGAGCGGCGGGTGCAGCAAAAAATAGTATTTCTCTTTCGGCCTTTTCATGGGGAAAAATTGCCACAATGGTCCCTAACCTTTTCATTTTTACAGACTTTACCCTAACCTTCATTTTATTTTAGTAAAAGTTCCTAACCTTTTATAAATATGCACTAAAATCCATCTGAACGGAAACTGTCCAAAACACCGTGAGTTGAAAGAAAAAATTAAAAAATTAGCATCCAATAAATCAATCCAAAAATACCGTCTAAAAAGATATCAACATTGAATAAGACCGTTGTGATAGCAGATAGTTCAAGAAATTTTCTCGATCAATTGATGATGTTTTGGATGGTTTCAATCCAGATGGACCTTAAGTGTATATTTATGAAAGGTTATGGACCTTCATTGACACAAAATAAAAGTGAGGATAAAGTCTACAAAAAAGAAAATATTAGGAACCACTGCTGCAATTTTTCTTATAATTTTAGAAGTAGTGTATAGTAATGAAAAAAATAATGTTATTCATAATTAATGATTAATTGTCCTCTTAAGTTTTACCAGCTTGTTAATTTAGGCATTAACTTGTTGAAGCAACAGAATTATAGAAAATTAATGATTTGACACAGTCTTTTAAATCTATGTGTCGAATTGGCCAACAAACTCACTAATATTGTGAATTTGTGAGATAAGTTGGATTGATCTAACTCATTATTCTTATTGTATAGACAAAAATTTAAGAGGAAATTTGGCCGTGCAATGTTTTCGAGATGAAAAATTGAAATTTTTTAATGTTTCTTATACTTTTACGTGTCTAGACAATTACATTACTCGTAACTTCCAATTACCTTTTTTTTTTTTTTTTTAAAGGTTGCAATAAACTCTTTCAAAATAACAATAATTATAATTTATGGGTGTATTTTTCAATAAAATATTAAAAAATAAATTATTTTTCATATACGGAAAGTGGGTGTAATGAGTCGCGCTCTTTACTTGGCTCTTTATTATACCGTGACATCATGTGTTTAATCATATTCTTAATGAAAGGGAATTATTCCTTAATCCCAACTTAATGGAAACAAGTTACTTCGTACCATTAGGCTGCTTTTCTTGTTTGAGTGAAATTGTTGGGAGAAGCATATTAGAATATTCTTGTGGTATATTACTCTATTGGCCCAACAACTGCTATAATTTGTATTCATTTGGCACAATCTGTTCCCTCTTTCTCTCTGAATTTATCTTTCTTCAACGATCTTCCATGGCCAGAGCTCACGGAGATGTCGACCGAACGACTGCTTTCGTGGGTACCATCTGTCTCACTCACACACAGAGAGACATCATTTAGTTTGCTAGAGCGTCATGGATGAGAATACAAGGATCATGAAATTGTATTTCAAGACGGATTCCTTCTTTTGCTCCTCGATCAAACCATAAGATGAGATAATTTGTATCCGTTTCTCGTTCGTCTGCAAATGGATATCTGGTATGCTATTCTTTCTCCGAAATATTGTGTGTATGGGACTTTGCCTAATCCAACCCCCCCCCCCCACTACCACCCCACACACACACACACCTTTTTTAATTTTAGGAATATAAAGATAAATAATAATCAACCAAAAGAACAAAACGAGGATGATTAATAGATTGAATGGGGAACTCATTCTCAGCTAATGACTTTTAAGTTCTTTTTCTCTTTTTAGTAGTTTAATTTTGCAAATAGACTAATGGAGTAATAAATGTTAAAACGAAACATGATTGAATAAGAGAAACGTGTTAACTATTTGTAATAAGAAACGCGCCCTTATATGTTCTCGAATTTTGCATGTTACCAATCCTAGATTTTATATATCGTTTCCATTTGAATTTTCACGTGGGAAAAGTTTTTCTTACTCATCTTGTGACTTCAATTGGAAACCTGTCATTTGCTTTATTTGTATGTTTAGTACAAAATATTGAATAACACAAAAATAAATTTATAATCTTGCTCATAACAGAATTGAGTCATGTCCACTTCATTAAGAACATCTTCAAAATATTCTCTAAATACAATACGCCCTCTATTTTAGATAGTCCGTGATTAGAAATAAATTCCAACAGACTTTATTTTAACTTTTTAATTAGTTACAAATTTCAATACTCTAATTCTTAAATTATCCAAATCATATTTAATTGATTGACCACTGACATATGAAAATATATGTTAAGTAAAAGATGAAAAATCAATAAATATTTATTGAGAAAAGCAAAATGAAAAGTTAAAATAGAAAACATTGTTGGAGTGTATAATAAATTTCTCTTTAAATTTAAAGATGATCTTTATAACGAGATGGTCTCTTAGAGATGCTCTAAGAATGTAAAGAGGTACAATAAAATAATTAATATGGACTAAAAAGTTCACCCACAACACTGAACCTTCTCTTTTGCCCTCAAATCATACTGCTGCTTTTGAAGAAGCTATACAATTAGTTGATTATCGTCTCGACTTCAAAACCGCCTTATTGTTGACAGTGTCATTTTACTTCAACAGCAGATATACACAGTAAAAATTACAAGCAATGCTTGCACCGAAGTGAGCCATATCGACAGAGAGGTCATAAAAAAGAAGAAATTTCCCTGTGAATAGAATTAAAACGAATTAGTTCAACTTTTAACTAAAAGCAGATAACTTGCTTGACAGTAACTGCAGTATCTGCAATGACAACATTGTGAATTACCGGTAGAAGAGGCTCGACCAATGTTAACTTATGTAAGAGCAGATCCGACTCTCACGGGTTTTAGACTCCTCACAGCTCTTCTTGCATGCTCAAAGGCCAATACAAAGAGGCCAAAAAAGTACAACAGGAAAAGATGTAGCTTCTCTACAGCATCAACCATGAAAGATAAACTACTTGTTTTGAAAAATGACATCCGGGTAGCTTTACAAACTGACAAAAAAAGAGAAAAAAAGAAACAACAGTTAGAAACATTTTGTGATTAGTCGAGAAAAATATTTGAATTTCAGAAATAAACTGTCTTTTAAAGTATTTGTTCATCGAGGAAGTATGGGATAAAGCTTTATTGAGTGGTCAGTTTGTATTAGTAATACTCACCTCTACTTTTCTTATGCAAATTTGTCCAGTCGTGTAAGCTTATCTTACTCTTTGATGCCTTGATCAACTCAAGAAGAGCTGCATTTACCTGAAATTCCAACAAAAACAAGGTAAGAAGTAATTTCCGTCTTTCTAAATATATATTATTCATGTCTCTAATGCTGAATCAATTCTTGGGTATAGAAGATCGTATGGAAATTACTCGTGATTCTTGAAAATATTTGCCACATTCATACAGATATTTTTGTGCGTTCTTCCTGTTTTCTAAATAATAAGTAAATTCTGAAATAGTCGTTATAATCCGTTACATTGTACTAATCCATAATCCTCTCAGTGTACCTATACACATTTCCTTTACAATAATTGTGATCATCTGTTATGTCGCACAAGGTATATGAGTCCATAATCATGATACTCATATCCTCAAGTACAAAGTTTATGATAATTAGAATTTCAGTGGCATCAATAGTGATCTCAAATTGAATGAACAGAAAATGATCACAGGGATATGACCAGGGATACGACCCTTCAAGTCATAAGTTTTAGCCAATCCTTTTCTGGTATTAGCTTATAAATTTTTGTTCAATGAAGAAAAAATTATCATTGAACTAGAATTCATCCCTGGAACATTGTGCAGTATCTTTAAGGGCTAGATGCAACTTGCGACTCACTCAAATCTGAAAAATATTTAAGATAGGCGGTCTAGCATATTAATCCTAGTCCTCCACTCTCCACTATATTGCGAGTTATTAAGCAAAATTGAAAAGGAAAGACATCAATTAAATTTATAACCAGCACAATTTCTGATCCTCTTTCTGTTAGAGTCAAGGACACAAGCATGTTTGGCCAAGCTTAATAAATAGTCAGATTAATATTTAACTTTTTGTTTCCAGACATGTTTGAATATGCTACTTTTTGTCAATAGTAAGTAAAAAATAAGTTAGTATGGAAGTAAGGGCATGTTTGGTTAGTTTGGAAGTAAGGGCATGTTTGCGGTCACTTGTCTTAAAAATAACCTCCAATTGTGGGGCTTATTTTGAATGTAAGTGGGTCCACATTAAAATAAGCCATACATTTATTGCTTATCTTTAAGATATGCCACTCTAACATGCTCTAAATCTCACAATACTGTCATAACAAGAAAACTATTTCTAACTTTAACCAATTTTAAAAAGTATTTATTTTAAAGCTTGCTTATTTACTAGCAAGGAAACTTTTTCAGATTAGCCAGACATGCTCTTCCTTTCAGTCAACTTGTGAAATTTTAATTGGGCAATTTCATAAGAAAATCTCTTCAGATGAAACACCAGCATTGACTTACGTATTTGAATTATTTATGAAATACGCTGATGCTACAAAGTGGATATAAAATAAGCAACAGTTTTTCAAATGCTCAGTTGGTACCTCTTCGGTTCTCTCATGGCTCACAAGATGCCCTCCGTGAAGTTCAACCATTCTTGCAGAAGGATAAAATTTTCCTGCAAGCCTTTTTGCATGGCATAATTGGGCGATGACATCATATCTACAGCATCATAAATATTTGGTCATAATCTTAGTACGGTCCAGATTCCAAATGGGAGAAATATTTAACATTTTTGTGCTACAGCTACCTGCCATGAATAACGGATATAGGAAATCCAGAAGCACGGATTGACTCAATTTCCGTCCGTGACATTTTATGAGTCCAGCATGCATTGATCTGACCATCAAATCCATGTTTTGACTGCATACCAGTTGATGATATGCCTTGTACATATAGCTACAAATTTTTAAAACAACATAGAATAGTAATTGTACTTATAATGCAAACTTCATTGAAATATTCAGGTATCGACTTTATATACAGAAAAGGAGTCCATAACATACTCCGACCGCATTAGGCATGTAGTACCGGATTGGATACTACATTAGTCGAGGTTTTAATTTTTATCTTCTCAAAAACTGTCCAAATTGTTTAGTCTACTCTACCAAACCCATCCAAGTTTAAGCAGCGGAATTTATAATCAGTCAAACTACCCTAAAAATTACAATATACCCAATAAAAAGAAGAAAATACAAAAAACCATTTGAAAAATTTCGACTGCAGTATAATTATTCCTAGAACCACCAGTGTATTTCAACTTACTATTCAACCCCAGGAAAAAAATTGAAAAGGAAGTAACATGTTAGCCTTACTATTTCTTACTTGGTATAATATTGATCTTCTCGTCTCATCTCCAACATACTCTTCAAGATATTCCTTTGAGTAGTGAGTATCTAAATCAACAGCTGCCCTTTGCTCAGGACTTTTTGCCATCAAGAAACGAATTGCAATCGACAAAGTTTGACGGTCAAGCTGAGAAGAAAAGAGAAGTCATGGAAATTTACTATTAGGTTCAGTAAATTATCCTCTCAGAAGTTCAGTTGTTTCGTAGTGGAAAATTATCCCATTTATTTAGTAACATAAATATCCATATGGAGAGTCAAAATTCATTAAGAAAATCAATATAGATTCCATTTTTATAGGACTATTTGGATTCTGATTTTTGCAATGTGGACATGCAGAGAAAAAAATGGGCGAAACGAAAGAAGAAAAATGAATACAAAATAAACTTATTCACATATCAAGAAACCAATAAACATAGAATCTGAAGTAGTTTTTGGTTGCCCATAAAAAACTCTCAATTTTCGGCTTCGTATTTTGGAATTCCTTTCATGCTTCAATATTCATTTGCGTAGACTCTATTCCAGAGACCTGAATTATTCCAGCCTTTAATGACAATTTATTTTTTTATTTTTTCTTCTCTTGAGCTTTTATTTCATATTTAGATTTCTGACTACTTTCATCGTAAAGCTTCAGGGAAAAGCTAAAACTAATGGAAAGAACCCGGAAAAGTGTTCACATACACATTGAACCCACTACAAATATAATCATATCATCCCTGTTCACTTCCTGTCCGCTTTTTGCTTTTCCTACCATATAATAATTCAATTTTGTAATTCTTGTCATTTCAGTGAAGTTGAAGTTTTATAATAAATTATTACACAAATTATCCCTACGGCTTCAAAAAGGATTCATACCTTCGGTATGCATTCATAACCTCCACCAGTTACATTTAACAAAGCCAGAGACAAAACTCTATCGGGCACCATGGCAGCCAATTTACAAGCAATCATAGCTCCTGCATCATATAGGAAAGCAGGTAAGTATGAAACATGATGTAAGAGGTGATGAGAGCAAAAATGATTGTTGCAGTGTGAACATGACCCATCAAATATGATCATGTCTTCATGTGTGAACATAACTTGTAACTCCAAATTCTTGGTCTAGTTTTTTTCTGAGCATATGATAAGCATTTCAGGGGACCTAGTTTGAAAAAGAAACCGAATTCTGGGTCAAAATAATGTTATTTGGTTTGAATCAGAATTATCACATTGACCATCATAGCGTTTTTCTATTCCTCACGTTTTAAGTAACTCTTACAAAATTGAATTTTTGCACTGGAAACTCCTCTAGAAGTTAGCCCTTTAATAATTTTAAGCTCACAATGCTAATGAAATTATTAACTACATAATGGACCAAAAGTTTAAGTTGCTCGGTCCAAATAGCGACTAATGAGCATTCAAATGCACTGCAATGCCCCATTGCCGATTAATTACATATCTAATCATGAGACTGGGAACATTTCAGCATATTGGGAGTCCAGTGGTGCTCCTTTTCTATGCCGTAGTCTATTTACGTAAGCAGTGAATATGTAATGCACATAAAACTAAATGTCGAATGAATATCATTAAGTTCGACAAGCATAGAACAAGTCACAAATGCAAAGCAGAAATTCAAAGTCAGAACTCACCCATTGAATGGCCGAAGACATGGGCCTTTTTCCAATGCAAGTGATCCATTAGAGCTATTGCATCTTTTGCCATAATTCTTGTCCTGCCTCGTAAAACAAAATAAAATCCTAACTTTCGGGAATGATTAAAATCTGAATTATATTTTCAGCTACAAGAAATTACAAGGCTAAGTATAATACAACAATCAAATTCCAGAAAGCCAAAGAAATATCATGCCCAAAATTCTTCAACCTACTTCCCGAATATAACAAATGTCAATGTTTTTAACATCTCATTATTTTTTTGCTCGAAATTTATTTCTTGACTGTTCATAAACCTTAAAGAAGTGTGATCATTAAATTGAAAACCTTCATTTTCAAGTTATTTCTCACCTCATATGTACCTAATTGTTGTTGAATAGGCCAAAGAAATATCATGCCCAAAATTCTTCAACCTACTTCCCGAATATAACAAATGTCAATGTTTTTAACATCTCATTATTTTTTTTGCTCGAAATTTATTTCTTGACTGTTCATAAACCTTAAAGAAGTGTAATCATTAAATTGAAAACCTTCATTTTCAAGTTATTTCTCACCTCATATGTACCTAATTGTTGTTGAATAGGAGCTGTCAAGTTGGAAAAACTTTCTTTTCTATGAATCCACATAAAGATATCATTCGTGACAAAAGTGTGAAAGGGGTTCAAGAATCTCCTCTAAGCTAAAATCACTTATTTGGCTTTACAAAAGTGTACCAGTTTTGCACCCAAAATCGGGAGGAAAAGAAGGGGGAAGAGGATTAAGAAATTTCTAGTCGGAAATATCAATGTCGTTCCACTATTTAATAAATGTGGGGGTGTTAGCACATACAACGTATGCAAAAAAATAAAAATAATAGAACATCAAATTTAACGACAATTATCTACAATTAAGCTATAATGAGAATCCAATCACAAAATGAAGCAGCTTATAATTTAATGGCACTCACGTATATTCGGACTTCTTGATGGGAACGGAGCTCCGACCCATTCCCCGATTATCAAACGCACAGACCTCAACGCCATCACCTTCGTCACTCTCATTGCTCCGATCACCGGCCGTCGACTCATCGTCGTTCGGAATCACCGTTCCAGCGAGACCCTTTATCTGTGGACCCCATGAATCGTGGGTCCCAGCCAATCCTAACCATTCATCCAAAAACACCATCACCGACCAAACAAAAATTCAAAAGAAAACCCATTAAACTGATTCAAATACTTGGATAAAATGGAATCAATCAAATCAAAATGGGTTACCGATAATCAAAAGAACTTTCACCGACCCATGACCGTACGTTCTGTAGAAAATATTGGTTTCATTGATGTTCGATTCATCTCCATCGCCGTTCTGGTACGAAGTTACGTTACAGAACGGCATTTTTTTATTTTTATTTTTAACTTTTTGTGAGCTTTTTCTAAATTTTAGAAAGAAGAGGCTGGAGAGTTGTATTGTCTGAATTGAAATTTTCAAGAATGGACAAGAAAAATGAGGCTGAGGATTGCTGCAAATATATAAGCGCGCACACGTTTATTATGTAGCATGTGCTATTTTTTTTTTGTTAATTATTTCGTTTTCATTAGTGGAAAACTAATAATTTGTCTAATTATTAAGACATTTGTTAAGTACTCTGTCTCTCTCTCTCTCTCTCTCTCTCTCTTTATTTTTTTATTATAGAAAAGTTGAGAAGGCTTCATCACTGTATAAAGGCACTGGTTTTTTGCTTCAAAATGTCAATATGTAAAACTTATGTAGATCTTTAATAAATAGAAATCACCTATGTAAGTTTAGGGCTTGTTTGGATTCGATTTTTTCAACAAAAAAATTGATTTTTTAACCGTTATTTCACTATTTTAGCCTTCATATTTGATTTTTTTTTCACGGGTGGATCCCACTTTTCTTCTAACGGTTAAAAAATCAATTCTCAAAATCACTTCTAAACAGCCTCTTAATATTATTTGTTGGAAATAGTTTTAATTAAATTGAATTTACTTAAAAGTTGTTTTTTAGTAAATAAATTTAAATTACTTTTTTAATAAAATATTGTAACTTTGAAAAAAATATTTGATAAAATAATACCATAGTTAGAAGGTTCCTGATTGCTGAGGACGTGGCGGATGATGACTGGTGAATAGAGGACGGCCGGCTTTGGCCAGCTGAAAGTCAAAGTCATAGTTGGCGTTCGGGAAAGAAAGGGGAAACTGAGGGAGAGATTTAGCCCCGTTTGCTATGGATTACAATTTTAGGCCCCGTTTGACTCTCATTTTTTGAAGTAAAAATAGGTGAAATAGTATTTTTTTTTAAAAAAAGTGGATAAAAAAAAAGTAAACATTTCGATTTAAATTTAATATTATTTTATAAAAAATTGTGTGATTGAAAAA